GGATATCCTGATAGATCCATTCCAACTTATACGTATTCGAAAACTCGAGCAGATCTTTATGAGTATAGCGTGCTTCTTCTTCTTGGGTAATCATCTCAACCTCACCTTTAGGGGCTTTCTGAGCCTTAATTTTAGTAACAGGTCTAGCGGAAATAATGGGTGGTGAGGGTGTTTCCTGGGTGCTCTCAGCAATATCTTGTAAGGCATGTCCCTCAGGCAATGCTACAGATGCAGCCCCACCTGGATCCCAGCCTGAACAGTTCGGCTAATCTGCTCAGGTGAGGGTTGTTTTATTGATAGTGAATTAATACTTTCAGCTGGGAGGGGTGAATCCATTGACTGGGTGGGTCAATTGCCTCTAGGGGCTCAATATCCTCCTCTTCTGGATCATCAGCTCATATGTTCCCATCCCATGTTTCAGGGTCCCAGCTTTTCCCTATCAATGCCCTCACTTTGGTATCAGACACTGCTCTAGATCTGCAATTCAGCCACTCGCATCATGAGACTCTGCACCTGGTTCTCAGCAATGTCAGCTCTATTACTAGGGAAGAGAAGGCTCTTCTTTGTAGCACAGGCGGAAGTTTTCAAATCCGTTAGTCTGCACCTGAGGCGCACTTCTGAGGCTCTGAGACCATCCCTTCTCCTTAATCATACTTTCCATTGTAAGGAGGACCAGCCAACAAGCTTCCCTATACTTGCCATCCTGACAAGACTGCTGGAAACTATCAAACACGATCACTCAGAGCCTCTCCTCTAACCGGCACTTCATCTATCGGTGGTGCCACTGTAGATATTAGCTCTGCTATTTCACACCATGGATTACTAAGAGTGGCAGACTTATCCAGGCCTTTGGATGTAGAAATGGCATTATTAGTGCTGCTAAGACTAATCAGGCTGGAGAGTCAATTTAAGAAGCCCATATTTATGATTTTATTTCTCTAGACCCACTCTCGGTACCAATTATGTTAGACAGGGTTCTCTAGAGAAACAAAACCAGAATGCTAGCAATTATATATATATTTATATAGATAGATAACATAAGAAATAAACAATCTATAAAGCAGTACAAATGGCTCAGTGCAACTCACTCCTGTGAGACAGTTGTGAGACACTGGCAGTCCTTCATGTCTTGAGGGCCTCCAGGTAGTCCTCTGTAGAGCAATTCAGGCTATCTGGGCACAGGCAGCAAACAGCAAGGCAGGTCACTAATAGTCAGCCAGATGACAGGGTCCGACAGTCCCCAGCTCAAGAGATGTAAATTCCAATGGTGTGGCGAAGCAGGTCTTGAAGGAACCTCAAATTACAGCGACACAGTCCATGGGTTAGGTGTCCCACAGGTAGTGTAGTTTGCAAACTGAGGCACAGAAAAAGCAAGGCAGCCACACACTGGTCCAATAATCAAAGAGCAAGAGACAAGAAAGGCGAGGTTCGCCAAGCCATTTATCTTTCCTTCCTTCAATTAACCCCACATGTGTTCATTGGCCATGTTGGCACAATAAACATTAACTATCTCAATGGGGTACCAATTGAAATGTTTAAACAAGCTGATGAAGCTCTGAAAGCACTCACTGGCCTATGCCATGTTAATTTGGAAGATAGTTATTTGGCCAACTGACTGGAAGAGATCCATATTTGTACCCATTCCAGAGAAAGGTCACCCAACAGAAAGCAAAAGTTATCGAACAATATCATTACTATCATATGCAAATAAAGTTTTGCTGAAGATCATCCAACAATGGTCGCGGCTGTACATGGACAGGGAGCTGCCAGAGGTTCCGGCTGGACCCAGAAGATGTGGAGCAAGGGCATCATTGCCCTGTCAGATGGATCTTGGCTGAAAGCAGAGACTACCAGAAAGATGTTGACTTGCGTTTCATTGACTGTGCAAAGGCATTCGACAGCGTGGATCCTAACAAAGTAGGGATAGCTTTGAGAAGAAAGGGATTTCCAGAACACTTCATTGTCCTCATGCAGATTTTGTATATGGATCTAGAGGCAGTAGTGTCAGAACAAGGGAATACTGCATGGTTTAGAATCAGGAAAGGTTTGCATCAAGGTTGTAAACTCTTACCATACTCATTCGATCAGTAAGCTGAGCAAATAATCAGGAAAGCTGGATGATGTGGGGAAGAATGCAGCGTGAGGATCAGAGGAAGGCTTATTTAACCACCTGTGATATGCAGATGCCACAACCTTGCTTGCTGAAAGTGAGGAGGACTTGAAGCACTTGCTGAGGAAGATCAAGGACTGCAGCCTTCAGTACGGACTACAAGTCAATGTAAAGAAAACCAAATCCTCACACCTAGACCAATAGGTGACATCATGGTAAGTGAAGTTGTCCAGGATTTTGTCTTGCTTGTAGTCTCACAGAAGCAGCAGCCAAGGTATCAAATGCTGCACTGCAGCGAGTGAACGGGCTGCACAAGACCTCTTGAAATGTTGCAAAGTGGTTACCTGAGGACTAAGGTGCGCCTGACCAAAGCCACGCTATCTTCCATCACCTCCTGTGAATGTGAAAACGGAACACTGAGAATGGATGCGTTCAAATGTTGGTGCTGGCAAAGATGGAAGTATGGTGGACTGGCAAGAGGACAAACAGATGTGTCTGGGGAGAAGTACAGCTAGAATGCTGCTGAGAAGCAAGGATGATCAGGCTTTGTCTCATGGACTTTGGACCTGTGGTCAGGAGAGGCCAGTCCCTGGAAAACCGCATGGTGCTTGGGGTCGCAGAGGGTCAGTGGAGAAGAGAAAGGCGCTCCGCAAGATGGAGTCACACAGTGGCCCCAACCACTGGTTGACACACAGGCTCAGTTGTGGGGAGGGACAGGCAGTGTTTCAACCTGTTGAACACAGGCCTCCTCTGAGTCGGACTTGGCTAAACAGCAAGTAACAACCCCACTCAGGGTCGGTGCGTGGGAATCAACTCTGTGGCAGTGGGCCTGGTTTTCCTGAAAAAAGAAGTAACATGAGCTCTGCTGAGGCTACGTGGTTATAAAGTTACAGAACTTGATTAAGGCCCAAGGAGCTGGCACTGGGCTTCATTCTTCCTACCAACTGCATGAAGTCTTTGTCTACCAGACAAAGAACCTCAATCTTCAAGCAGGCAATGGTTTTAGGGGCATTTTCTTAAATCTGCCAAAATAGAACTCCGGACGTTGAAACAATTTGTTCAGGGTCACACAGGAGAGGGAGTACAGCGCTCAGATCTCCTTACCCACTGTCCAAGGCTCCCTCTTCCAGGGCTGCAGCCTCCACCCACCCCACCCGCAAGGACTGTGGCCCCCTCAGAGTCAAGAAACCGAGCTAGCAGCTCCACTGAAGCCCCCTGGGGCATGCTCTGCACAACCTGCGCCCAACTTTCAATGAAGGTGCTATGTGTGCCCTGACTTCTCAGCTCCTCTGTTCTCATGACTTAAAGTTACAAAAGTAAACATACGGGATTCTAGAGATTCAAAATACCTAGAGATAGCAAAGTGTCCTCCCTCCCTGGGCCCCCAATCACCATCCCTCCCCAGATGTGAGCACTGCTAACATCTGTTAGCAGGGCACTCCAGAAAGTTCTCTCTGCACTTAAACGGATTTGAACAGCTTCTTTATTGCCTTAAATGAGATAATACAGTGGAGCCTGCAAGAGCCAGAGCCCATGTAAGGAAAAGCCTAGCAGAGAATGGCAACGTCAATATTTCCCACTGAAAATAAGGGAAAGAACGTAACTCTCCCACAACATCAGCTCCTCGAGGGCAGGGAATGGACTTTGTCTCTCACTTTATCTACCCCTAGTGCCTGAAACAGTGTCTGGCATATTTCACATTCCCTCACTGCCTGCCATGGAACTGATTCCGACTCCTAGCGACCCCACAGGACAGAGTAGAACTGCCCCTGTGGGTTTCTGAGACTGTCACTCTTTACGGGAGTAGAAAGCCTCATCTTTCCCCTGTGAAGCAGCTGGTGGTTTCAAAGTGCTGACCTTGAGGTTAGCAGCCCAATGCATAATCCACTATGCCCCCAGGGCTCCAGGCATATGTTCCATTTTTGATAAATGTCAAAAAAAAGACCATATTCAGTCAATCCTCCCCACTCCACCCCGCCCCACCCCAAATCAAGGAATAAGGCACAAAGGTTATTTCCACAATACACTGCCACCTGGATAAGGGCTACGCTTATCACTCTCACAGCTGCTTCCCCAAAGGTTTGTACCAAGGATATACAACAGCAATAAACACTGTACAGGATGGGAGTGCTCACTCATCCACGTGTCTCCATGTCTAGTGGCTGAACAGTATGCAGGAGGGACTCTGTGCAGGACACTACGTCCTGGTGCTACTGAGCCATTTCCTCTGGGTGAAGTCACGGGGGGAGAGACATCGTGAACACCTGGAGCAGCGCCATGGCAGAGATGATAACTCCTCCCTGCTGTTCCAAAAATGAGGGAAAGGCCAGGTTTCAGTCTCCAATCATGCAATGCTGGAGGTTTCTATGACTACTCGTCCTCAGGGAACCAGGCCACCCGACAAATCATCAGCATGTGCCAAGCCACCTTACAGGGCAGTGAACTACTGTAGCCAGCATCTGTGATTTTCACAGTGACTGGGTGGGCTATGCAAATAAGGTACTAGCAGCCCCACCCAAGTAATGGGACACTTTGCTGCTAATGTAAATTAAGTGCATGGCACCTTTGTGGGAGTGAGATTGTGCAAACAAAGTGCATGGACCCCTAATGAGGAGATTGGTCAGCTCTGCTATCCCATGAGGCTGAAAGGGAGACACAGGGAGGAGAGGGGGCAGGTGCTGTAACACTGGAGACTGTGAGAGACTGCAGGGAAACAGAAATAGGAGCAACAATGGCAATAAGAAGGCAGGAACCAGGAGACCTGAGTGAGATAGCTGTGCTGAGGCTCGCTGGCCCACAGAGCAGGGAGCGGAGACACTGCCCCAAAGGCCCTGAGAGCAGAGCCCTCCAGCGGAGGGCAAGAAGAAGCTCTCCTGAGCGAGAACCATACCTGGAGTTGTTCTTGTTACTTCTGAGTCCAAAAGTCCTTCCTGATCCAAAGTCATACACGGTTACTTCCCAGAGAAGCCCGTAATCGTATTGCCTGTAAGTGCTATGTGACCACTGCAGCGAATGATCAGCGGCTGTCAGAACTGGAGGAAATTGGAGAGGGGAGGGAGGTCCGACCTCGGCCTCACAGGAATCAGTCCTGGTCGGATGTTTATTCTCCTCCCTGCTTGTAAGGTGGCCAAACACCCGGCCTTGCTCCGTTTTTATACTTCTCTTGCTTTCAGTATTCCTTGTAGAAAGGAGGTACTTCAGTTATGTAGCAAACCTGGCAGCTGGAAGCCTCAATGCTTTACTCGCAACACCATTTCTTCGCCGTAACTGTGAAAAGGGCATGGAGCTTAATGGCATCCGTCTGCTTTGGGTTCTGCCCAGTCCCCCTCAGTGAGCTGTTAGGATCTTCAGAAAACCATCATCTAAAAGGGTGGAGGAAGGCTACTTAGAACTGTTCAAAGAGAAAGCATTACAACTGAGCTCTATGGTTTGGGTACAATGGGGTAACCTGATGTTTCTCTGGCACAAAATAAATTTCTGAGAAAATACAGGAAACGAAGGCTTCCTGTGGGTAAGCTGACCAACAGAAGCCACTAGAACAGTGGTTCTCCACCTTCCTAATGCCCTGACCCTTTCATACAGTTCCGCAGGTGGTGGTGACCCAACCATAACATTATTTCCACAGCTACTTCATAACAGTTATTTTGCTACTGTTATGAATCGGACAACCCCTGTGAAAGGGTCGTTGGATCCCCAAAGGGGTTGCGACCCACAGGTTGAGAACCACTGCACGAGGACAATGTGTGTGTGGGGGAAGGCTACATTGACCTCACCTGTATCTCTGAGAGATCCTGAAAATGCTACTCAATACACAGTTGTGCTTAACAAGTAAAAAAGTGGCAGCCTTGAATGTTAGGGTCTTCTAAGAACGAGCTACACGGGACCAAAAAGATCAATGCAACTCCAAAGAACAGCCAAGAGCCTGAGAGGGTCGTGCGCTTCCGTGAACGGGGGAGAGCCACTGGGAAGAGCAGGTGAAAGTGGCTATGAAAGCTGAAGAACGAGATCAAGGTCACCCCTAGACTGAGTGACGAGGGCCTGTTCGGTTGTGCATATGCTCAGCAACAACAAAGAGAAAGTGAAAGTGAAAACGAAAGTTCCTCCATCTGTAGACAATTGGACCTCCCCTCACAGAAGGGTCACAAGGAAGAGATGAGCCAGTCAGGGTGCAGTATAGCACCGATGAAACATACAACCTTCCTCTAGTTCTTTAATGCTTCCACACCCCCACCACCTATCATGACCCCAATTCTACCTTATAATTCTGGTCAGACTAGAGCACGTACCCGGATACAGATCAAAGCTGGAAACACAGGGAATCCAGGACAGATAAACCCCCCAGGACCAATAATCAGAGCAGCGATACCAGGAGGGTAGTGGGAAGGTGGGGAAGAAAGGGGGAACTGACCACATGATTGAGATATAACCACCCCCACTCCCAGGGGGACAAACAACAGAAAAGTGGGTGAAGGGAAATAGTGGTGAGTGTAAGACATGGAAAAATAATTGATAAATTATTAAGGGTTCATGAGGGAGGGAGGGAGGGTGGAGGAAGGAGGGGGGAACAATGAGGAGCTGATACCAAGGGCTCAAGTAGAAAGAAAATGTTTTGAAAATGATGGTAACCTAGGTACAAAGGTGCTTGACACGATGGATGAATGTATGGATTGTGATAAGAGCTGTAAGAACCCTCAATAAAAGTTTTTTTTTTAATTTTACTTCGTAAAAGATAATCATTCTTTCGCCTCAATTCTACCACGAAGCAACAGTAGGTGCCAGCCTGCCTTCTCTGCGCTGTGCGACGCCAGCTCTCAGGAGCATGCTGACACTATCCACAGGATGATCTGCATGACACCTCCTGACAAGGATGACCCTGGACGACGTTAGGCTGAGTGAGCTAAGTCCATCACACAAGTGGTCTCTATTCTATGAGACCGCCATTGAAGAACATCAAACAACGGTTTCCACACTTAAAGATGTATACACAGGCAAAAGAGCCGCCTCAGAGACACACATGGGACTGACAGAAATCCTTTAGGATAGCAATCCTATCATCGTCTCCACAGCCAGTTGACTAAGTTAGTTTTACTGAAGGAAATAGAGTGAACTCCTTACACTAGATTCTATTGGAGGGAAAAAAAAAAGTCAAAAGAGAGCTTTGGATGAAAGCCAAAATGTAGCATGGAATGCCCACGGCTAGAGAGATCATGGGAGGGCTGGAAGGCTCTCAGAGTTGAGTCCCAGGATAATCCCCTCATAGTACAGTGCCACAAATCGATGAGTCCAAGTTCACACAATACTGAGAAGTCAAGGTCAGGAGATCTTGGTCTCCTGCCTTCTGGCCTGTTTCCTCCATGCTATGACATGGACAGAAAGGCAACGCCAACACACCATTCCACATTCCACATTCCTGTGAAGCCTCTAATCTCCCGCCTCTTCTGTCCAGGCGACTGGAAACCTATCTGGGTTCCCTCGGTATTTCAGTATTTTCCACTTGGTATATTATGAATGAGGAGAAGCCGGTTTACGAAGTTACACCTTTATACTCCAGTTCAACACTGACTGAAAGTCCACTCTAAGTCAGCCATGGCACTGGGCCACAGGAAGCACCAATGCGAGGGTCAGTCACACATGGCTCAACCACAGCGCAGAATGCAGTTACCTTGTTCGTATGGGGGTAGAAGGGGACCCAATTTGAGCAAGAATAAATTTGATCAAGGAATCGAATTACTTCAATCTGGTTCCTAGTGAGTACTAATCCACATCACAAAAGTCTAACAATTTTAAACCAACTATAGGGTCCGTGGTAGTGGGTGGGTCAGACTGGACCGAGAAGGGCAGGAAGGGTCAGGACCCCATCACCAGGAAGAGGCGCAGATTCGATGGTTTCAGCGGCAGGAAATGTCCGAGAGCTCTTGGGGAGAGAGTCTAGGTCTGGAGACAGAGGGCCAGCCTGACCCACACCAAAGATTTCACTTCCAGACTCACTGGAGGTCTAGGAAGGCACATTTCACTTTTTCAAGCCCCTCAAACCTGGGGCAATTTAAAAAGCAATGCACAGCTACGCTGAAGGAGGCCCTGAGGTGGCTCCACTTTCTTCCTACCTCCCATTCACCAGCAAGTCTGAGTGGAATTTCCAGTCCCAGCTTCTCCAGCTCCCGCTCCCTGTACTTCACATACTGCCGGTACCCTGCATAGCCACCGCCTGTTGCCAACAGAACGGGCCCGGGCCGCAGCAGGTTCAAGGCACGAGCAGAAAGCGTGTGCACTCTTCTGGCATCTGTAATAAAAAACAGGAACATTTTGAGCCTGAGGGATGCGGCAGGGAAGTCACACAGAGCTGACACAACAGGAAGACCAGGAAAAGCTGGTGCATCCCAGGAGACCTTGGCAGAGTGGCCAGACCCTGAAGGGCTATGGCGAGACAAGTGCAGCCTTCGGAGGCCCTTCGGGGACCTTTTCCCTCCAAATTCTCTCCTTAACAGGCACCTTTCTGCGTTAAAGACGAAGCTCTCATGCCACAATAGTTCCAATCACACAATTTAAGATGGGACCCAAAGGAGATTAATAAACTAATCAAAGGTGTCCAGTTTGCTTCCAAAATGGACAGGACTCAGTGCCAGGTACCATTTCCCACCAGGCATCTCTAGTCTTGCTTTTATAATCCAGGTTCCATTCGGATGGAGCACTGTTGTTTCCAAATGCAAAAAAAGAGAAAGAAAATCATACAACACGACAAATGATATAAAACAAAAAGACAACCCAATTTAAAAACGGGCAACGCATTTGTCTAGACAGAGATACAAATGGCCAGCGAGCACAGGAAAAGTTGCTCAATGTCATTAGCCAGAAGGGAAATTCAAATCAAAACCACTTCACACCCACTAGAATGGCGACAGATCATAACAAGCACTGACAAGGATGTGGAAAAACTGGAACCCTTGCCATAGCTGTTGGGACTATAAACTGGTCAATCGCTTTGAAAAACAGCTAGACAGTCCGCACTAAAAGTTAAACACACAATTACCATGATCGGCGATCCGAACCCAAGAGAAAGGAAAACTACGTCCCCACACAAGTCTGGGTGCAAATATTCAGAGAAGCATCATTCTAAAATTGGAAGCAACCCAAATGCCCTTCAACTTATGAAGAGGTTAACAAGATAAGATGGGGTTTCACAACCAAAAGGAATGACGGTCTGAGACATGCTAAGACATGGACCCTGAAAACATTATGTGACAGAAGCTCGTCACAAAAAGCCACAGGTTGCATGGTTCCATTTATACCAAGTGCCTAGAATAAGTCTAGAGACGCAACCCCGATTAGTGGTTGGCACAGTCTAAGAGAC